GAGCAACACCTCACAGCATCGGCTTACATTGTCTCGCGCGTGCACACACACGCACACGCACACACACAGAGAACTATTAGGCTCGGGTCTGGGGTATTCAACAGCTGGCAGGACCTGTCCCCACTCCACCTACTGTGAGACCGACCAAGCAAGGGATTCTGAAAGATCAGAGTCCTGAAGCTGTCCCTCCCCGACCTTTGGGCCCTACCGGTGCTCACTCTCATCAGTTCCCATCCATATGCTGCCTTCCCTCGCCCCCAAGGACTGTTAGTCTTTTTCTGGGAGGGAGGAGGAAGAGGGACACCCCCAGTCCAAAACTGAAGCTTGTGTGACTTTGACCTCTGAAGGCAGAGGGTTTTGGAGCTTTTGTCAGCAGGGGTGGTGGGGGGAGGGAGAGACTTCGCCAGTCTGCCTCTTAGGCCTCCAGATTATCCCTAGCCCCTCTTCACTTCAAAAGCTGACTGTTTAGCCTCTACTGAGCCTTGCTGCTGAGATTTTGTGTCTCTGCTGGAATTGAAGAAGCCCCTGGCACTGAGTCCCCACTGGTCTCTTAGGAGGTTCCAGCTGCATTCTCATGCTGTGCTCCCCATAGGCCCCAAATGATGCCCTCCCAGATCAAGCATGATGTCTATGGAGGAGGGGTAGGTAAGATCTTGGATGGGGACAGCGGTCCTCACTCCCCATTGATTGAGGTGGCATTGTTGGAGGGAGAGGTGACATGGGACTACCAGGGGCAGAGAAACTGGGCATCCAAGCTTTTGGGACCATGGCTGCTATGTTTCCCCAAGCTATGCTGAACCTACAGGCCTGGAACACTCATCTCTTCTGCCCCTCCCCCACAGCTCAAGACTGACCAGAAGGATCTTTTTAGGTGGGCAAGGCCCTCATCTCCTAGCCTGACTCCTCTGACCCTCCTGTCTGCTCCAGGTCATGCTGGTGGGGGATTCCGGTGTGGGGAAGACCTGCCTGCTTGTGCGCTTCAAGGATGGGGCTTTCCTGGCTGGTACCTTCATCTCCACTGTGGGCATTGACTTCCGGGTGAGGATGGAGACTGATGTCCCGAGCTCTGACTGTGTCCAGCTGTACTCTATGGTTCTTATACATAGTCCCCCCCCAGCTGACTCTCCATTGCTGATGTGTCCATAGTCCCAGGGGATGAGAGCTTAGCTACTAAACCAGCTGCTTCCCAACATCTGAGGGTCCTAACTGCATCCAGCTGCAGCAGAGTTCTACTCTTAGCACAGGCTGATGTTATACTGAGCTATACCTGTGCCCTAGGGTAGTGACAGTGGGAGGATCTCAAGGCCGCTAGTTCACTTGCTTTCCCACTAAAGAGGGCACCCAAGACCATGGGAGGTACTGGGAACTCTCTAGTTCCTACAATGCAGTGCAGCTTGGAAGAGGCCTCCTTAGGATCCCAGGCAGGGTCCTGGGAGCTCCAGCCATCAAGGGCCTCCCAACCCCCTTGCCCAGGCTGAATCTCATGTGCTGAGGTGCTGGTGTGTTCTTGGCAAGTCCTGAATTTGCATTTTTCTCACCCTTTAATTAGACCAAGTTAGCAGGAGTTGGGAGGAAGGCCCATTCTGGGGATAGAAAGGGGGGTCCTCCTAGTGGGAACTGTTTCTTATTGAGGATTGCAGGTTTCCTCAAGCCCTCTAGGTCCTAGAGTCCTGGAAGAAGTAAAGGTGGAAGTGCCAGGGAGCAGGACAAGCTTGAGCAGGTGTTTCTTGCCCACCCTGGTCTCCCTACCCACCTCGTCTTGGCTTCTGGGTGGAAGGTGAGGGAGGTAGGGCTGTGTGGTTTGCACCCCTGTTCAGGGTGCAGGAAAGGCAGAGTATCCTCCCTCGCCAGGCAGATGGATGAGGCCTGGTTCTCTGGAGACCTAGAAGCCCTGACAGCAGGAGTTCTGGAGAAAGGGGGAGCCAGGCCTCACCTCACCTGGCCCCAGCCTGTAGTCAACCCCTCTGGGGTGACGGGTGGGTGGGCACTCCAGCCTGGTGGCTCATCTTGAAGGGACTGGTCTAGATTTGCAGATAGCAAATTTATGAATATTGCCTATGTACCAGCCATAGTTCTGGGCTCAGTGGGCACAGCACAGGGTCAGGCAGGCTTAAATTAAGTCCTGCCCCTTAGAAATGGGTGTCCCAGTGATTGAGAGGTGGGAAAATGAAATTAGCTCTCCCAGGCGGGGTGTAGTTCTCAGTGTACACAGTAGCTCATTAAGTTAAAGGTGTCCTTCCTCTTCCCATCTACAGGTGGGTAAACTGGGGCACAGTGTAGCATCCATACCATCGATGACTTTAAGCCAGTTAAGTCTTTAAACAGGAACAGCACACTAATATTGCTACTACACTCTTGGCAAGTGGGAACCTGTGTGGGACCCGGTGGCGGGGGAGGGAATGGGGTAAACAAGGGCCTAAAGTGGATGTAGCTGGCCATAACCTAGTATCAGGGCAGGAAGGGCCCAGGCAGGGTCACCTGGAGAGAATCCCCCTGGGGTTGATGCTGGAGGCAGTGGCAGGGAGTACCAGGCAGCTGCTAGGAACATCTGATTTTAAACATAAATGTGACCTGTAGGCTGGTTTAAGTTCTCAGAGCAGAACCAGGAGGTGCTGCAGAAATGGGATGGGGGGGGTCCCCCAGCCTCCCACCAGTGGGGGTCCAGCCATGACTTGCATGACTTCCTCTCCTACTTCAACCTTATGAGCCCTCAGGCCAGAGGATGGCAGGCATCCTTACTGTTGCTGGCTGCTTCTGTTTCAGAATAAAGTTCTGGATGTGGATGGCATGAAGGTGAAGCTGCAGGTGAGCTTACAGGAGCACAAGTTTGGGGCTGGAGACACCAGGGAGAGGTTGGGCAGTATGACCAGTGCCTGTTGCCACAGATCTGGGACACAGCTGGTCAGGAGCGGTTCCGAAGTGTCACCCATGCCTACTACCGGGATGCTCATGGTAAGACACTGGGCCAGTTCTCCACAGGGAGTCTGGGTGATCTACTGGCATGGGGGCAGGGGGTGAACATCCCGTGACTTGCAGTGACTTGGAAAGTATGCGGGTGGTTCAAGGAGCCACTGGGCCCCAGGGATGTTCTCATTACTTTCCGTATCCAGCACTGTTGCTGCTCTATGACATCACCAACAAAGACTCCTTCGACAACATCCAGGTCAGTGGCTTCCTGGTGGGGGGTGGGGGGGGCTGGGTTGTCTAGAGAGCATCAAGGAAAGATAGGAACTAATGGGCCCTTCTGAGCTCGTGCTGGCCAGTGTGCATGGGTAACATCTGGTCCACTAGCAGGATCACCTGGATAAGGGACCAGTGAAGCGGGTACCTCTGTTCCACACATGCCAGGGCTTCTAGGAAGAGGCACCTGAAGAAGTGTGGTACCAGAGGGCAAGACCAGCCTTGAGACTGGTCCCAGCTTTCCCCACACAGGCCTGGCTGACGGAGATCCAGGAATACGCCCAGCGGGACGTGGTACTCATGCTGCTGGGGAACAAGGTGGGAATCTGAACCTGCTTTCCTCCAGCCTGGACTGGCAAGCCATGGACTGGCACTAACAAAATTTCTGTGCCTGGGTCAGGTCGACTCTACCCAAGAACGTGTGGTAAAGAGGGAAGATGGGGAGAAATTAGCCAAGGTGAGTCAAAATGGGGTGGATGGTGAGGTGTCCTCAAGGCCCGTAACACTCGGGCTGCCTGCTATTTGGTCAGCACGCAACTGCCAGCAGCTCTTTGCAGGAGTATGGGCTACCTTTCATGGAAACCAGCGCAAAGACCGGCCTCAACGTGGACTTGGCTTTTACAGCCATAGCAAAGTAAGTCCTGATAGTGAACAAACACGCCCCTTATGATCCAGGCAATAAACCTGAAGAGGCTGCTATATTGTACTCTTGTCACCCCTACTCCTTAGGGAGTTAAAACAGCGATCCACAAAGGCTCCCAATGAACCACACTTCAGACTTCACGACTACATCAAGAGGGAGGGTCGAGGGGTATCCTGCTGTCGGCCTTGAACCTGGAAGCAACCCTACCTTGAAGAGCCGTGCGGAGCCTATAGGCTTGACCTGACCCAGTGACGGCCGAAGTGTTCCCATTTCCAAGATTAAGGCTAATGCTAGCCCCCTTTGCCCCAGTGGCTACCACAGGAATGGTCTTAAAGCATACAAACCATGCTATGGCACTTTGCCGCCCTCTCCTGGGCACTTGCAGCAGAGGGCATTCTATACAATGCCTAGCTTCTAAGCCATTGTTTATTGCACACTGCCCATGCAGGACACCGGCCAGGAAAGAGGGCTTCATCACTGTCGTCCATTTGTTAGCCCCAAGGAAACAGCAGCCTGCTTCTAGTTCACTCTTAAGAGGATACTAGCATGTAGGAAAATCACAGCTATGCCGGGACACAACAAGTTACCACTCGGCAGGCTGGCCCAGTCCCTTCCACGTGTCACCAAGTCACAAACCTGAGTGAAACACCGTCATCATAAAGTCAATAAAGGCTTTTTTTTTCTGGAGTTTGTGTCATCTGTGGAAAGTCACCTTCCAGGGCCAGCACGATGGCTTAGTGGGGGTAAAGGCACCTACAACAAGCCTGACTCCTGTGGCTATTCTGACTTCCCTATGTGCAAACACCCTCAAAATACAATCCCCCATGGACCCTGGATTACCAAGATTAGAGAGGCCCACAACCAATTACTGAAACAAGACAGGTCAAGAGCTCATCATACAGCAGTTCTAAAACCCGGAGGCCTTACTTTCACGGTTGCCCCTTTGCACACGGCACGAGCATGAAATAATGACATTTGAAACGAAGATTGCGGCTGCATTTTCTCTTTATTGCTTAAGCAATTCGCATACAGATACGCAGCTTACCAGCAAACCCTCCTGCCCGTTGTTGATTCTGGAAGCAGCCGACTCACCATGCCCTGAAAGTCACAAGAAACAGAAATCTTTACTTTTGGTAACTTTTCATTTCCAGCCCTTCCACCTAAAGGCAGAGTCCCCAAGCCTCAGCCTTGTAATGTAATCAGGCTGCACATGCAGTTTTCATACGAGGTGTCAGAAATTAAAACAACTCATCATCGGCTTGGTGCTGCAAAGGAAAGCCAGGCCCGACTTAGTCTTACCTGCAAAAATGTCAGAAGATTGAGGGGAAAAGCAGGGCCCAGACCACCGCAGCACTCGAAGAAGGTTGGCCTGCAGTTGAAAGGCCCTTCCAGTTTCTCTTGGCGACCAAGGCCAGTAAAACGTGCTTCACAGAGCCAGAACAAACATTAACGCACAGTACCAACTCACTCCCAAAAGAACGACCGCAGCCGAGGCTCAAGCGTTTATAGAACTGCCCCTTATGTGATTGGGCAGTCTGAGGAAGAGCCCACCTTCCTTCGCTGCTGATATGCTCTTCAAGCTGTCATGCAGTTTCCACCAATCACATCGTAGACTTTCTTTCGGAGGCGGTATCTTGGGTCGCTCGAAGATCAGCCCCTCTGTAGAGCCATTGAGTACATGAGCGACGACTGGGCTTAGCCAATTAAATTTCGGTCTGCAACATAGAGTGATTCAGAAGTCACCAATCCGGTCCTGCAGTGCCGAGGTCGCCGGAAGTCGTAGTTTAGGAAACTCAAAGTGTGATGCAGCCCCCGGAGTTCCGGGAGTCCGTGAACTACAAGTTCCGACGTGCGCAGCGCCCCGGCTTTTCCGGCTCCTGTATCTCGTACCTTTCCGGGCCGCGGGCGGAGGGGGCAAGATGATGCCGGAGGGTGTAGCCGCTGCTCCTAGGCAGCCGCGGGCGGGTGAGTGTGCGCGCGGCGCACTGGACTTGGGACTCGTTCTTCCGTGCTGTGCGGCGGGGCGCGGGCTGGCAGGAGAGCGTCACGAGTGGTCGTGGGCCTAGCCTGGGGGGCGGGACTGAGACAGCTGGGGTCTCAGCGTTCGTAAGTCGGCTTGACTCTCCGCAGACGAGTCTGTCACTCCTTTCCTTCACTCTCTTTCCTTTTGCTCTCCTGCATTTATTGAGCGCTGCCTGTGTGCCAGAAAGTATCCTAGGCTCCGGAGAGTCGGCAGGGAACAGGATTCGAAACTGATAAGCTCATCTGGTACGCGGTTTCGAGACCTAGGCATTCTGCCTCTAGAGTCCTGTGCATTTTAGCGTTTCTGGATTTGTTCCCTGGATGGTAGTAATACCCACAGCCCTGTTTTGTTACAACAAAAATGTTCCGAGACTTGGATAAATGTCTCCTTGTGGCAACTCACCCTCCTTCTAAAAGGACCGAAGACTGACAAAAGAGTTAAAAATCATGAGGAACTGTGATAGATATTACGAAAACAAACCCACTAAAGTGAAGCAGATAAAGTGAGTGTTGAGCGTTCTTAAATCGTTTGGGAGCGCTACAGTTAGCCAGAGACCTGATGGAGGAGCAATCAGTCCTGAAACATTGCCGAAAGAGGCTTACAGGCAGAGGGAGCCAGAGGGATAAAGAGCTTGGAGCAAGCTAGCGATCTCTAGCAAGGGGTAGGAGAGGTAGGAGGCAGATCCGGGCAAAGTCTAACAGCCTTCTGGTATGCATAAAGATGAACTTTATAATTCAGGTGAGTTGCAGGTGAGAGGAAGCCTTCTAATCCTCACTTGGCCAGTTGTCTCAGCCTCTATTTTTTTGGGGCAGGCTAAGATGATCAGATGAGGCTGAAGTCCTGGAGATGTCTGCCCCTTCAGTCTCATCTCCCCTCCAGCCTCTCCCTGTGCACGTACAAGTTCATTCCTTTGTTCACTGCTGGCCTTGGTTCAGTAACCGTTCAGCTCTGTTCTTCCGTTTTCTTTGGAACTCTATGCCCAGACAGCTTTCCAGGGGGTCAGTGTGGCAGGCAGTGCTTCAGTCACCTCCTTACGTTCATGTTTCTCTGTGGAAATTCCAGTCCCTGTACCCCGGAGCTTGCTCCATCTCTTGACCACTGTCCCTTCAGGAAGTGAGAACCACTATACGCAGCCTGACTAAAGTTTTTGTTTTTGTTTTTTGGTTTTTCTTTTTTTTTTTTTCCAAGATTTATTTATTATGTATACAGCATTTTCCCTACATATATGCTGCAGACCAGAAGAGGGCACCAGATCTCATTACAGATGGTTGTGAGCCACCATGTGGTTGCTGGGAATTGAACTCAGGACCTCTGGAAGAGCAGTCAGTGCTCTTAACCTCTGAGCCATCTCTCCAGCCCCCTGTTTTTTGGTTTTTCGAGACAGGGTTTCTCTGTAGCTTTGGAGCCTGTCCTGGAACTAGACCAGGCTGGCCTCGAACTCACAGAGATCCGCCTGCCTCTGCCTCCCGAGTGCTGGGATTAAAGGAGTGCGCCACCACCGCCCGGCTGCAGCCTGACTCAGGTGACCACAGACCAGGAAGGAGTGGCCAAGAGTAGTGTCTAAATCAGAGAAGTTCCTTGTTGTAACTTTTTTTTTTGTTTGTTTTTGAAGACAGGGTTTTTCTGTAGCCTGTCCTGCCCTGAAACTAGCTCTTGTAGATCCTCCTGCCTCAGCCTCCCGAGTGCTGGGATTAAAAGCGTGCGCCACCACTGCCGGACCTTTTTTTTTTTTTTTGTAACTTCTTGTAACTGTATATTAGTCTTTGGAAATGGATCCAAAGATCAGGCTCTTTAGTTCTGATCTGTTTCAGACGGAATAGAAATAAATGAGGCTCTGTACCCTTGGCCCAGCTTCTAGCTCCTCGGGGATCAAACTAAACAGTCTTTGGGGATCTCCTTATTCTCCAGCACCCAGTGAGTCTAAATCTTGGATGAAGCAATGTCTGGTGTGGGGAATAGGAAGAAAGTACAGCTGAAGGAGGATGTAAGATAGGCAGGCAGCTTAGTCTCTGTAATGGGCTACCTGGCTCTGCTTAGCAAGGGGCTAGCCTGAGGGTTCACTGGGGCTCCTAGTTTGCTGACAGCAGTGGAGGGAGCCGAAGGAACAAAGCTTGGGGCAGCCTTTCTGTGCCCACACACTGGCTTGTCTGTGGGCTGGCCATTTGGCCTTTCTCAGCCTCCACTCTAGTCTGTCAGAGCTGCTGCTCCTGGTGTACCTGTAGCTTTTAGTTATGTTGTCTCTGACAGCTGTTACAGTGTTTTATAGTGGAAAATCCAGTCTCCTTCAAAGCCAAGCAACTTCCTCAGTCCTCCCTGTCTTGAATGGTCAAAGGAGAATTTGAACTAGGTCTGTCTGAGTCGAGGGCTCATGGTCACGATCGCCCTGTCACAAGTACCGTGTGTGTGAAGTGCCAGCTTGAACCCAGGTTTAAAACTTAGCAGCTGGTTGTATCTTACTGTGGACCAGGGTTCCTGTAAGTCTGGTCTTAACAGCAAGTGGGCACCTCGCACTCTATCAGGTCTCTGATTGGCTTGTTCAGGAGGAACCCTCGGAGAGGAACCTACCAACCCCCCCATCCTTCACTAGATACCCTGTGTCCTAGGGAAGAGTCATGTGACTGAAGGGAAACAGACCCCTAGGAATGAGTTGATAATGGAGGACTTGATGCTTGAAAGTCCCAGGTAGAAGAAGATGACAGGGTAGAAACCAAGAAATAGGGCCATCCAGGGGCGGGATGTATAGAAGGGGTGGGACGGAGCTGCTATGAGTGTATATAGTATGGGATGAGACTGGGCAGGTCTCCGCCCCCTACATTCTGTCTGAGTTACTCCAGCTTCTGTGGGTGGGAAGAAAAACCACTAGGGAAGCAGGTACCTGGATCAGTTGCCACAAGTTGCCACCAGTTGGATTTGTTTTAGATAGCAAGGCACTCGAGTGGGTTGATATATATCTCAGGAGCTCTGTCTGCTCTGGATCTGGCTAGTCCCCTCCTCTGGGAAGCCCTCTGCACTTCTAGAAAAAGCCTGATTCCTACACCGCAGACTTGGGAAAGGAAAAACGGTGAGGTGAAGTTAGTGCCACTAGCAGGAGCGGGGTTGAAGCTCACTCCCTGAACTCTGAAGAGGTTCAGCCTGAGCAGGGAAGACGTGGAGGTTGGATATAGGGTGTAAGAAGGAGACAGAATGCTGGGACCCATGCAGAGTTGGATCAGTGGGTCTAGACAGCAGGAAAACTGAGGGCAGAAGTCAGGCTGGGGTGCTGGGAAGGGAAGAAGCAGAACAGGCTTCTGTCCAGGGCTTTAGACGTTCTGTGAGATCTTCAGATCTGAGGGATTTGACACTCTAGCAGCCCTGGCTGGCACACCCTGCCTGTTTGGGGTGGGAAAGATATGCTAAGGGGACATCAAGGGAAAAGCAGGGCAAGTGTGTATGGTTTTGCTATGGCAACCAAGTCTGTTTCTATAGGATTTGGCAGCCAGATCTGGGTTTGAGCCAGGGGGAGCTGAAGTAGGGGCTGGACGTTCTTCAGGTCCCGGCACTGGCTTTCTTATGCCAGGAGATATGCTTGGAACTTTGGCAAGTATAACCAGAGGGTGCTCTGGCAGAAGTCCAGCCCATCAGCTACCCACAGCTCAGACAAGCCTCGATACTCGTCTACTGGTAACAGCCAAGGCGTATGTGTGTGTCCATGTCTGTCTGCAAGACAGAGAGCATCACTAATTATTGCAGGCCGGCCTTAGCTTTAGGGCGATCCTTCTGCTTCAGGCTCTCAAACTTTTTGTCTTTTTAAAAAGACCAAATTGGGCCAGGCAATGATGGCACATGCCTTTAATCCCAGCACTCAGGAGGCAGAAACACGCAGATCTCTGTGTGTTCAAGGCCAGCCTGGTCTATAGAGTGAGTTCAGAAAGGCTCCAAAGCTATAGAGAAACCCTGTCTTCTAACCCTCCACCAAAAAAGACCAAGTTGGAGAGATGGCTCAGTGGTTAAGAGCACTTGATCTTACAGAGGACCCAGGTTCAGTTCTACATACAGCTCACATCTGTTTGTAACTCCAATACTAGGGAATATCTGCTCTCTCTCTGTCTCTCTGTCTCTGTCTCTCTCTCTCTTGTAGCTTTCAAGCCTGTCCTGGATGGAGTTCTTGTAGACAAGACTGGCCTCGAACTCTCTTTTTGCCTTTGTGAGCATTCTGTTTATGGTACACAGCCATACATGTAGGCAAAACTTCACACAC